ACACAAAAAAAAAAAAAAAAAAAAAAAAAAAAAAAAAAAAAGAGGGAGAAAGAAAAATAAGTCACACAGTGGCCAGGCATGGAGGTACATCCCTAGGATCTCAGCACTCAGGAGGCTGAGGCAGGAGGGTCACCACAAGTTTGAGGCCAGCCTAGGCTATATGGTGAGCGAGTTCAAGTCCAGCCTCGACTACATAGTGAGACCCTCTCTCAAACCCTCCCTATCCACCCCCACCTAAAAATAAAAATAAATAAACCTCGCAAAATGCCTGTCACATGGCTGATGGGTCAGCCGAGGCAGTAAGGTGAGGCTTTGGCATATTGACCATGCCAGAAAAACCCTCTCTTGGGAGTCGCCTGTGGGTCCTTTCCATGACGGGGCTCCATGGCCTCTGCGGGTCCAGAGGAAGGGGCACCTGTGGCTCAGTGCACACCAGCCAGGCCCTGCCTCTTCCTGTTCTTGGCTGCTCTTGCAGAGCTGACCCCCAGGCTTTCCCTGCACAACTTGCCACAGAGAAACGAGACCCCAAAAGTGCAACGGCACTGGCAGAAATCTGAATTGAAACGCACAAGGCTTGAAATTGGAACTTCCAACATCAAGAAATCAAAACGGGGGGCTGGAGACTTAGCTCAGTGGTTCTGCCACCTGCTTCGTAAGCGCACAGACCCAAGTTCAATCCCTGGTACCAAAAAAAAAAGGAAATCAAAATGGTATCATGAGAAGCTTCTGTTCCGGCTCAGGTTTTGTGCTTTTTTTGTTGCTGCTGCTGTTGTTGGTTTTGGGTTTTTGTGACAGGATCTCACTGTGTATTCTGGGCTGGCCTTGAACTCATAGCGATCCTCCTGCTGCAGCCTCCCAAGTGCTGGGATTGCAGGCGTGCGCCACCATGCCCAGCTTGGACCCTCTTCCTGAGACAACTAAAACTCCAGCCGAACAAAACTGTTGACACCAGGCCACAAAGGACTGGGAGGCTCAGGTTTCAGGAAAGACACCAAGCGCCCACGCAACCCTGGAGGACGCTGTGAGCTCAGCACTCTCCAGGGCTCCTAGCAGAGCACAGGACAGAAGGGCACCACACACGTGAGGGTGTCCGAGGCTGGGGAGAAGCGTGAGAGTTAGGAGCTGAGGCTTTCGGGGCTCTAGGGCGGAGGAAGCCCGCTTCCTGTAAGCAGAACTTCACCGCAGTCTCGCAAATAAAGCTGAAAAGCAAAGGAACCATCTCTAGGTAAGGTCCCAGGACGCGCTTGTGTACAGGAAAACAGATGCACTGGGACCCAGCACAAAGCGTTCCCTGATGTCTAACATCCAATCAAAGCTGATCAAGCGTGTAAGTAGGCACACACACCAGGCATCCCAGCACTCTGGGAGGCTGAGGCAGGAAGATCGAAAATTTGAGCCCAGCCTGGACAGCAGCAACTTAGCAAAACCTTGTCTCAAAATCAGAAATGAGGGCAGGGGATTTAGCACAGTGGTTCTGCTGCGTGCCTCACAAGTGCAAGGACCTGAGTTCGATCCCCAGTACCAAAAAAAAAAAAAAAAAGAAAAAAAAGGATGAGGAGGGAGCTCAATATGAAGGCCCTGGATTCAATTCACAATATAAAAACGGGGGGGGGGCTCACAGAGAAATATAGACTAATGAGAAAAATGAAACCATCAAAATGGATCCAGAAATAGGACAGCCTGTAAAAGTTTCAGTCCAGAACTTTAAAATTGGTGATCTAGGTGTGGTGGCGGTGCACACCTGTAATCCCAGCACTCAGGAGGCTGAGGCAGGAGGACTGTCCTGAGTTTGAGGCCAGCGTGGGCTACACAGTGAGTTCAAGCCCAGTTTGAACTACATAGTGAAACCCTGTCTCAAACAAAAAATAATAATAATAATAATAATAAACTAATTCCAAAAGAAAGCAGAAAAAGAAGGAAAAAGGAAACAAAGAACAGAAAACAAACAGCAAAGTGGTTGATTTAAGTGAAGCCATATCAATGATCACTTAAAATAGATGTGGTTAAAAATGCAAGACAGAGGGCATAGTGGCACACACCTGTAATGCCACTACTCCCCAGGAGGCTGAGGCAGGAGGATCACTGCAAGTTTGAGGCCAGCCTGGGCTACATGGTGAATTCAAGGCCATCTGAACTACATAGTGAGATCTTGCTCAAAAATCAAAACAAAAACCTCAAACAATTTTTAAAAATGCGAGACCCACCTCCTATATGCTGCCTGTAAGAAGCCAGCTTCAAGGGCCGGGGATTTAACTCAGTGATTCCACCACCTGCCTCATAAGCACAAGGACCTGAGTTCGATCCCCGGTACCAAAAAAAAAAAAAAAAAAAAAAAAAAAAAAACAACTTCAAGACACAAAATCATTTTTCCAAAGAAGAGGAGGAAAGATACACCTTGCCAACAAAAAGTTTTTTTTTAAAAAATGTCTAGAGTGGCTACATTTATATCAGGTAAAGTAGATTTCAAAACAAAGGATATTATCAGGAATAAACTAAGCACAGCCATTTCATTATGTATTGATCCTGAAGAGTACATGAGTCCTAACCGTTTCTATAGGTAATACAGAACTCTAAAAAATGTGAAGCAAAACCCATAGAATTACAGGAGACATAGATAAATCCAAACTACAGTCACAGCTTTCAACAACTGAGAGAACAAGACAAAACCAGAATTTTTATTCCTTTAATTTGTGTGTACGTGTGTGTCAATAAAACTTTATTTACAAACATAACTAGGGGGCTTTTTTCTCTTTTTTCTTTCTTTCTTTTTTTTTTTTTTTTTTTTAACGG